AGGCGAAGTTTCAAGGAATTTGGAGTTATGGCACATGTCGAAAAATATCTCTGAATTTTATTCGTAAATTAGGAATTCGACCTAGAAACTGAAAGGGATATTTTTAAAAATTGTGTGTTTATTCTCAAATGGCGCCGGCTCAAGTCAAGTTCTAACCTGTTTTGGATAGCTAAATACTTTGTCTTTCAAGAAAAAGTATCGATAAGTTTTGGTTTTCCTTTCCACGCAAACGCAAATTAAGTTTAGATTACTAATTCTAGGCCTTTGCCATCGGCCATTTTGGTGACCGTCGAGGCGAAAATCGTTTTCCTCGGTTTTCTCGAAGTCAAAGCGCTTCGAGCTCCAAAAAAACTATATCACGTTTCATATCTACCTAAGGACTATTTGTGGACGAAAAGAGCGAAAAATCGATTTTTCGACTTCTGCCATGCTATGTTTGTGAATTAGAAAAATTTACTCTTAACTGTGTGCTAATAGTGTAAAAATCACGAATGCCGTTCTCTGATTGGCTACGCTACTCGCTATCTATACTGTTGTAGATATATAGTGAGTAGCGTAGAAGTGTGCCCTTGTAAACAAACTGGCGGCCGCTTCTTTGCGTTTTTGAATTGTCTAGGAAGATGATTTAGATAAAGTTATGAACGACTTGAAGACTTATACTGAAACAATTAGATTATTCGCTCTCGATTTCTATCGCGTGATAGTTCACAATCTAATTGTTAGAGTATCAAAATTCCCCAGAACTGTTCACGAAAGCACTTTACCAATCACCATGACTCAGTCGTGGCTCTGGGTTCCTAGAACTTGACTCTCCTGCAATTTGGAATTATCACAGCTATTTATCTTTGCTTTTGCAGTATTACGGCTAATCCAGTAGCAAAAGCTGCTGACAACACAACCGATCTCCAACTCGCTTTGAACACGGCTCAGGTCGGACGAACATTTCAGGACAGAAGTCATGTATTCATTTTGAAACCTCGAAATCAACTGCCTCTGAAATATCAGCATGCCAACATCTACTACATTGGAGGAATGGGAAAGAGAGGAAACATCGTGCAGACTTACCCGGCCATGGAATATCGCTTCACTCCTGAACGTATTACAGTTACGACAGAGGATGTGTTGTGTTTTGTATGGTCAGGTGAGAAAAAAGAATTACATGTAGTATGTAGTTTCAATTACTGATTACCGTTTAAGCTTTATTCTCATTCCTTCCCTCTCTTTCAAGCCCCTTTGTTTTAAGATCCCATTCAAAACTCTGTGTACTTGGTAAAATGCAAATTTTAGTATGCTTGCCCCTCTCTTAGTTCCAAAATCAGTCGATATTTCGTAAGCTAAGAGTTCATTGTTATTCCGTGTACTCACTCACAGTGTGTGGCTTGGTTGTCAATTAACTAGCCTTTGTAAGAAAGGAATTGTTCCCACTTATCCGGTACTTCTCAAAATTATTTGAACATTTGAACAACTTATGAACTTGCAAACGATTATTTTCAGGTTGCAAGAAATATAACACTTACAGTTTTACTGTAATTTCAATTTTTAGGTTCCAACAACAATCCGTCACACTATGATGGACAAGGAGCACAAAGTAAGAATCCCGGGAGGTTAGCGGGGAAGGGACTCACATATAAAATAGGTCCGCAATGCTTACTTGTGAGCTTATGCTTAGTTTTATTCCATTCGGTTGGAGTTTGTTTTTAAAAGTCAGTATCTGGGAGTTTAATTGCTATAAGTGAGAAGGCAATCACTGCAAAGATAAAGGTGTTACTTTGAAACTGGAGACATTATACTTGTGGTAGAAAACTTGTGGCCCCTTGGTCATTTCCTCGAAGTAAAACCAAACAAGAGAGACAAGCTTGTAAGGAGAGTCAGGCTGAAAACCAAGTCCGCGGTCCTGGAACGTCCCATCGACAAAATCGTTCTTCTAGAGACTCCTAGACTCCACGCGAGCAGCTAAACATTGTTAATCTTGATGTCCTCAATAGACTGCGAGCAGTCTCTCTTTTGCTCGGAAGTCCGTGGGGAAGAACGGCGAAGCCGCAAGCCGCGAGTAGCGCGGGGGGCTCTCGTTCTTCTTTGCGTTCTTCCTTACGGATTTTCCAGCAAAAGAGAGACAGAGACTGCTCGCAGTCTATGTCCTCAACCAAGAAGTTTGCTTGTAACGTCAGAGAACAGTTGTTTCTTTATTGACTTGATTGTGATGAACTATTTCGAATGGATTTAGTGACAATGTGTTACTCAAGTTTTTCCGTTTGAATCACTCAACTAAGTCAAAACGCTTTAAGTTCGCATTAAGGGGCTGGTAGGTAGGATGACATCTTCCCTACGTGCGTTACACTTGATTTAAAATTTAACTCGTCGATCACTAACATAAACATATAAACAAAACGTTTATTTTAAAACGATAAGAATCAAAGCTACAAAGCTTCTGGGATCATGTATACTACTACCTCAAAATACGTTAATTAATACATGTGATTCGTTGCGTAAGATATTTGTTCGGTATGTATTATATCAAGCAGCAATCGTGTCAATTGCATCGAGTTTCAGTTAAGTTCATCAGTTTCTTCAATCTACCAGTTCACATCAATAGGAGGAAATATCTGTAAGTTGTTTGTCTTTATCTTTTTGATTCTGTTTTTCGCCTTTTCTTAGAATTATTGTAGCCTATTGCTTTTTAGTCGAACACCACATGATTCAACCAGATAGGTTCTAGAATTACCTCTAAATCAAAGTGAGCAATTCGTTTTCAAATCACCTCTCGGTCTGATGTGTACATTAATTCGAAGGTAATCACCGCTCAAGTTTACCAAGGCTCAACTGAAGGGAAATTATGGCCACTAAATCGAGTGAAGAATCAACCACGCGCGATCAAGACAGGCGACCTACATGCAACATGACGCGGGACAACGAAGGAATTCGACACGTAAAATCCCTTGAACTTTGCACAGCGAATGCAACCATTGCCAAGTAGATCAAAGAAGTTACGGAATACATTTCTTTTTCTCGAAAAAAGAATTCTATGAGATATATTTGCATGACTATTATATGTTATGTTTTCACGTTAACTCAGTATGAAATCAAAACGTAAACAAAAGAACAAGTTTACATTTTGGCCTGTAAGTAATTTTAAAGCTCCCATTAGATTTGCGTTCAAGAAAATCTTCTCGCTCGCCCAAAGGGAAACTCGCTTCGGTTTCACGGCAAAATTTCATAATTCAGGCTCTGCATCAATGCTAAGTTATGATTGTTATTTTTAATTTACTGTCAATGAACTGAGACCGCAGGGGACCCGAACAAGATAATCATTTACATTCATGTAAAATATTAAAATAAACTGTTATTCAGTAGGCCGATTAACTAGCTGAACATTTTTTTTCTAGGCGTTTGTTTACAGACCAACATTCTCTAGTTGAATGTGACTGCTGTTTTTATTCATTTAACCCGCTAACCAGGCGATTCAAATTCCAAAACCGCGCAACTTTCAGAAATCGCTGAGCCGAGAGGGAACGCTTTTAATGACTTCGCTAACCAATTCTGGTTTGAAACCCTTTTGCACGCGGAAATTTCGTTAATTCAAAGATGGTGAAAAGAGAACCTCAGACTATCTAGACGTACGTTCGAATATATTTTCCGAGTGGCTGGTCCGGATTTGGCTTGCCTTTTGGCAATGAAAACAAACGTTGTCAAAAATGCAACCAAATGAGATTGACGCAATCTGGACACCACGGGGAGAGAGATACCATGTGACCGCAAGTGGACTTGATATATCTGTCATCTCAATCTTGGTTACCGACCTAAATCACGGTTGATCACGGGGTAAATCGAGATTTTGTCTTGGATAACTTTCTATTGTCTCGGGTGGCGTTAACAGTTTTCCACGAAATGAACACATCACAACGCTTTTCATTGACTGTAAATCAGCTAAAAAAAGTTACGCAGTCAATAATAAATTCGGTCCAGCGTGGCAGAGGTAAAGTTACTTGTCAAGTTATGTATTAATGAAAACAGCTTCGGATTGGCAGCTGAAGATAGATCGACACCTTCATTTAAAAGTAAAAATCTAAAGGTTTAAATTTCAAGGTAATCCCTTCAGGGACTGAAGTTTTAACTAGACAGTGTTGGTCTGTATTTTGTTAAAAACAATGGTACGTGCTTGTCATAAATTAGTACGGAAGGTCAAACAAGAAACCAGAGCACCGCAAATAACTCTATTTCACCGATCACGGTAGCGTGAAAAACACAAACATCGTACACCGAACAGTTTGAGATCACTGCAACACCGCAAGTTGGGATTTTATTCACCACACACCGCTTAAAAAACAAAAGAGCAAGCTTAAATTTTGGCCTGTAGTCCGCTTTAAAGCTCTCATTCGATTTGCGTTCAAGAAATTCTTCTCGCTTTTCCAAAGCACAGGGGACCCGAACACTGTATCAGCAATAACATAGTCATTTACAAAATAAATGCACTGTTATTTGCCTGTGTTCCTGGGTCTGGTTGAGCCGTTTAGAAGGGATTTGACCAGACGCAAAGGCAGTTTCCAAAATCATCCTGTCTGCCTCTGTCTGAAAATGCGACAGACCGGTTTCGCCTCGAGTTTTCACTATCTTTATTAACTATAAACTCTCATCGGGGAAAAGATTCTCAGGTTTCATAAAATCCTCAAACCTTCAACATGGGCGATGACCATATGAGATTATGTAATAATATTGCATAATCTCACAAAAAGACAAGGATGCTGGTTGGAAAATTTGATTTAAACCCATAAAGGAGACCAATGTAGACGTGGCTTGAACTTTATGTGACCCCTTAAAAATAGACAGACACAAACCCTAAAATATAGATAGTGGCGTTCCGTCCTAAAGACCCAAAGCGAGATCAAAATCCGTGATTTACACCCCTAAGATAGATGACGACCATCCCCGTCCTTTCAGCATGTGACCCTCCCCTCCCCCGCACGCCATACTCCGCACCCCGGGATATTGGAAATAACTATTAATACAGTATTGTATTTGTACAGCTATCAAAATAATGGGTGTTTCCTCTGTGGAAAAGTTCGCTGTCCCTTGCAAAATCGAAAGAGTAATCCAAGAAAGAGAGGAAAAAAGAACGCTAATATACAATTTGAAATTGGTTGATCTTCGTTTCAGGTACTGATCGCACCAACGTTTGTTGGGTAAAGGAAGGATGCAGCTATCTCAAACCAAAA